ACATGTGCGGACATGAACGATCGTGTGCTAATTATAGTCTTTTGGTTGCGCCACTTTGAGAATGGACCGTGCGCTGGAAGCAGCTGCCTGGATCGCTGTGCAACAATGCGGAACCGGTTCGCAGCAGCTCAAGTCTGCCGGCTCTCCCTCGCGCTGATCTGCCTGTACCGGCTCTCCCTCACGCTGATCTGCGGCTCTCCCTCGCGCTGATCTGCGGCTCTCCTCGCGCTGATCTGCGGCTCTCCCTCGCGCTGATCTGCCGGCTCTCCCTCGCGCTAATCTGCGGCTCTCCCTCGCGCTGATCTGCGGCTCTCCCTCGCGCTGATCTGCCGGCTCTCCCTCGCGCTAATCTGCGGCTCTCCCTCGCGCTGATCTGCCGGCTCTCCCTCGCGCTAATCTGCGGCTCTCCCTCGCGCTGATCTGCGGCTCTCCCTCGCGCTGATCTGACTTGCTCTGGTCTGCGCGCAACGGCGGGCGGGAAGGGGGGGCGCTTTTGGAAGAGTTGTGCGACACAACGAATCGATGACGCAATTCGTTGCCAACGCTTTTAGTAATCGATTTTCATCGAATTTATCGATTCGTTGTTGCAGCCCTATTGTACATATTGTGTACACACGAGTGGTGAGAGATTTGATGCAGGACCTGCTCAGGGAAGTAAGTTCCACGCTGGACAGCTTGGTTGAAAGACGTATTTCCCCATACTTGGTACCACTGGACCTGCTCAAAGTTAGCTTGACAGCTGCTACCCCTCTACTGTGCACCTTTCACAAATCCACCTAGCGTACAGCCTAGGCAGTGCAATTCCCATTCATGTTGATGCAGGAAAATTAGAACTCGGTTTCCTGTTACGTTCCCATGATTGTGACACCTCACATCTATAGGTTTAAGTCGATGCTAAACTTTGGTATTTGAAAGGACGGTAGGCATTTCCACTTTGAACTAGAAACCTGGCACGCCATCATCTCAACCTCGAACAGCATGACTCAGAGATTGAGATCATGGACGCTTTCCAGGGTTATAACTTTGCCTTCGACTTAGAAATTGACCAACAATTACTGATTGAAGGAACCAAATTTGTTAAGTTCACACAAACCCCGCGTGAACTTACTTTGACGCCCATGAATAGATACCCAAGACGCTACATAGACACAGATTATACCACCTTAATCTGCACATTGGTCGCCCTGGGGATGGGATGGCTCATCACGGCCGTGATAGCTTATTCTGCCTACAGGCGTGTTAAGAAACTCCAAGATAAGATGCACTTGCTCACCTACGGTGTGCCTCGTGACCGCGTTCTGGGAGACTCCAAGCGTGAATGTACCACACCTGTCTAAAGGGGGTGAGCAACGTTTTCTTTATTATTTTGTAACCCTAAGAGTAGTTCTCATTTTAGTCTACCTCACATATTTATCTGAGTGTTGCAGTATGTCACATTCTTTATAAGCTACACACTGAATGTATGACCTAAGAATGTATTTTATGAGACCTCAAGGTTGCTATGAATTTTCTTGGATGTTATATGTTTTTTTTTTTTTTGGGTTTCTGTATTTTTTGTTTCGTACTTGGTCACATATTAACTAGTGGTTATGTGCCGGCCCAGCTCAGTCTGTCAATGACTCTGTCTGACGCACCAGCACATTGTAGTACCTCTTAGTTTATGGTCCTTGTTTTAGCCCAAAGACTGTCCTGATCCACCCTTTGGACCAAAAAGGGGGGAATCTTGGGACCACATAGGTCAATGCGCGTTTGCGAACTATGGACCTCGTACATCACCGCGTGATCCATAAACTGAACTGTATGGCCGGCGGTGAGATGCCTTTGTGTCCCCTCGTGGAGTTAACCGCCCACCGACCTTCCTCCTTCTACACTACTACCTCTCGCATGGACGACATCATCATTGCGTACCACCTGCGTGAGTGGCTTCTTCTCGTTATGCGCGTTGGGGACTATCCCATTTCCTATCCTCTTTTGTTTTGTGCCTGACCAGGATCCAAGACAAAGACAAAGACCAAAGGCGCCAGGATCCAAGACAAAGAACAAAGACAAAGGCGTCCAAGGAGACCAACGTCCTAAGGGACAAACCCACCTGTGCTTCCGACAATCAAGTCGACCTACGTTCATGAGGAACAAACCCATCTTTGCTTCCGACGATCGAGCTTTGGGCGCGATCCCCGAAACCAAAAGGGGGAATGTTGAGGGTCTGACCTCATGAGGAAATTACTATGCAGTGATTTTCTCCAAAATGACTGTGCTTAAATTGCTCTGAAAAGCAAATAATCACATCAGCGCCAAGAAACTTCATTTCCCATGATGCTTTGCACACGGAAGCATTGTGATGACGTCACCGCCTGATACCAGAAACACGTTCTGCGGGAGGCGGGAGCTTGGAGCTTTCCCGCGACTTCAAAGACTATAAATCATGAATGAGACAAAGAAACCTCGTTCTTTTGCCCAGGATACCTGGCGGTAAGGACACGCTTGTCGAACGCTCCGACAACTTGAGCACGCGGAAGCTCTAAGTGCCCAAGTTGAGCCACGCAACCGCTGGAACCACTCCAACTCCATCGGGACCTGACTGGGAACGAGCGGAGCTCCATTCAGCTCTCAGAGACGCTGTAAGTTGTCAAACTCAGCACAAAAGAAACTTCGTTCTCTTTGTGTTCAGCCCGTGGAGAAACACTCGTGGAGCCAAACAACGGAGAAAGCATCAAACCGACGGATGACGCTGAAAACTGCGGGGAAACACGGAGAACCGTCAAATCAAACAGCTGGGGACGCCTTGCTGCTCTGGTGATCAGAAAACTCATTTCTCTCTCTCCTTTTCTTCTCCCGTTTCCTCTATAGTCCAGAATAAGCAATAAAACCGCGCTATTGCTTAAAAGTAGCTTCGTGTCTTCCTCTTTCGCTCCCAATTCGTCCTTCGGGTCATTTTGAAAGAATAAACTGCTTATTAATCATTGTTTGGTATCTTTAAATGTTTTGGCCATGGCCAGGCTGATAAACTAAAAGATATTAACTTGTGATTAATCTTTTGTGTTGTTTCATGATCCTTTGAAATGTTTTGAGTGATTTAAGGTTAAGTTACTACTGATTCTAAGTGCTTTGGAAGTTAAAGTGCAAGTTGCCACCCACACTTTAGCCAGACAAAGGGGTCAGCCATCTTGCATACAGACTCCATTTTAGAAACACACACACACACATACATACACACAAAACACCTTGAACATTATTTTGAATATACATCCTTTTATTATATCACATGGTTATTATTCATTTATGCCACTGTTTATTCATTTGACAAATTGTTAATTAAACGTTATAAAATTCAGATTTTATTCTCCAGTAGCTTTGTTGTGTCGAAGAGAAGTCTCTGCTCCAAGGATTCTACGAACTTCAAGAAAGACTGATAAGAGTTTTGGATTCAATTTTTCCCCGGTTAAAGGGGAATGGTGCCCCGTATATCTAAGAATATCTTAATTAATTAATAAATCAGTAAATATTTACATATTTACAGAATTTATTGAAGAATCCAAAAGTAAGTTGAAGCTTACTAATTGTTCGCTCCTAATAACCCCAAACAATTGGTTTGTCTCTAGAGAGGGTTGGTTGTTTGTGAAGGGGAATCCATGCCCCACTGTTATGGAATGTTTGCAACCAAAAAGAAAAAAAAGTCAGAGCTCTGCTAAATCCTGGACTCTCTTTTCTTCCGGTGATAACAGCTGGTAGCATCCTGAGTCAATGACAAGGCAAAGGTTCTGACTGAACCCAAAACCTTACAGTGTCCTACTCTGCCAGTGTGTTTTGCTCTTGCTCTGTCATCAAGATTTAGATGATCATCAAGAATTTGGTGATTATTTGCACACTTGTGTACTACAAACTTGAAGCCTTACTGCACACTTCCTCTAAGTGCACTTCGCTGAGGACCGTTGGGTGCAGTTCACTTCTACTTCCTGAGACTGGTGCACTGGAGCTTTGTTTCCCTAGAGTACGAATACTAGAAACCTAAATGTATTGATTAAGTGATCCACACTTTTAATCCTAACGGCATTGATGTCTAATCCTGGTCCTCAAGGGCCCCAGCCCTATCTACCATATTTTAGTTGTTTTCCTGCTCCAAAAAACCTGATTCATTGATTGAATCACCTGTTCAACATGTCATCAGTCAGTAAATGATAAATGACCTGGACTTGTATAGCACCTCTCAGAGTAAGGACTCCAAAGCACTTTACACTACAGTGTATTCATCCATTCACACACTGATGGTGATGAGCTATGATGTAGTAGCCACAGCTGCCCTGGGGCACACTGACAGAGGCGAGGCTGCAGAGCACAGGAGCCACCGGCCCCTCCGACCACCACCAGCTGGCAAGGTGGGTTAAGTGTCTTGCCCAAGGACACAACAGCAGAATTCTCTGTCCGGAGCCAGGATCAAACCTGCAACCTTCCGATTATTGGACAACCTGCTCAACCTCCTGAGCTACTGCTGCCACAGTAGACGCCCAATAATCACCTTCTGAATAAAATCAGGCGTGCTGGAGCAGAGAAACCTCTAAAATTTGCCAGATGGTGGCCCCTGATCACCAGGGTTGGACACCAGCCATAATGTGAGGCCTGAAGCTCTTCAAAAGCCTGATTAGAGAATGACGTCATCATGATGATAAATAAATTATTCTGATTAAAACAAACACCCAATCAATTTATTAGTTTAGTCACAAATGAACACGCGAATCCTGTAAAAGATCAGCCACGTTAGAGACTCACCTGTTTCAGGTTCCTCTGCTCCTCAGGGGAGATGAAGCTGCAGCCTTTGTGGACCTGCTGCAGGCAGAAGCTGCAGATCAGACGCGCGTGTTTGGTGCAGAAGAGCTCCATCAGCTTGTGGTGCTCGGAGCAGATGTGCTCCGATAAATCCCCGATAGGCTGACTCAGCTGGTGGAGGCGGAAGTTGGGGTTCTCCCGGTGAGGCCGCAGGTGCTCCTCACAGAAGGAGGCCATACAGGTGAGGCAGGTCTGAGCCGCCTAGGCTTCCATACAGGTGTCGCAGCGGACGACATCCTATTCGGGTTCGATCTCCTCCTTTGTGGACCTACTTCTGAAGGTGTCCGCCACGGTGCTGAGGACCGTGTTCTTCTTCAGCTCCGGTTTGGACTCGAACAGGGTCTGGCACAGCGGGCAGCTGTAGGAGTCCTTCCATGAGGACAGCAGACAGTCGTGGCAGAAGTTGTGTCCGCAGGGGATGGTGACGGGACAGTCGAAGGTGCTGAGACAGATGCTGCAGGTCAGGTCCTCCTCCAGACTCAGCAGAGTAAACTGAGACTCGTCCGGTACGGCCGCCATCTTGGACCTGAAACGAAGAAACGAAACTTAACTTTCCCCAAAATCCACAATAAACAATAATCCACCCATTTAAGCCCACAGCGACTGTAATCTCTTTACCTCTATTATAAGCGTCAAAAACTGCGGAAAATGGAAGCCTTTCCGGACTCTGACCGTTGTTGTTGGTGTTTAAACCACATGATCAGTGACGTCAGAGACGCACCCAGGGATCTGCCAGGGACAAAACATTCAACCCCTGTTCTTCAAGAATGAACCATTTAACGTGAAAACCATGACAAATGTTTTATACTTTGTTTTTAATACATGCTAATGTAATTTTCACGTTTGACCTTTTATACAAACAACTTGTGGAGGTTAAAGCTACTTTATGGGAGTCTGGAAAACCACTTTGCAAGGTGACTTTGGTTAGTTCACTAGGCTAACTTCATGGGAATGTGCCACACCAAAGGATACCAGGTTGATACAATGCTGACCTTGGAACTACAATAGATAAGAGTTAAACTAAGCTTCATGAGAATTGACATATTTCGAAGTTTTTTCAAATAAATTTGTAGTTTTTCAATCTATAGTGATTAATTTTTGTGCTATTTAGAGAAAAGGCCTGTGGGTACCTAATATGGTGCCTGCAAGCATCTGTCTGCATTCCTTCGTGGGGGTTTGTAGCCGCTCAAGGCTGCTAGGGCGCCAGATTCGGATAACAAGACTTTGTTTGGGCCAGGCTGAGATAATTTTCCTCTCTGCCTTCAGTCTTTAAACTGATCATTCCAGTCCTTCAGTGAAGCCAATTTGGGTTTTTAAACTTGTCCATACCGTCCGGTGACCATCTCTGAGATGACATCCATTTTGTGCACTAATACCGGTATCGCAGCTAGAACATTGTCCATCTTACTATTCACCTCGAGTAACGTCCCAGTCTGTGAAGTCTCCACACGGATGGTGCTTTCCGTGGGTGCGGGTCGCCCTTCAATTGCTCCCGTCTTCCCAAATTTCCAGAAAACCAGATATCCTCCCACTCCGATCAGGAGAAATCCAGTGATCATCAGGCCGAATATCCACACGTCTTCGACATCCTCAATGGACAACTGGGAGAGGCATATGATCTTCCATTCCCTCCAGGAATCCAGCATTTAAGTTATCCAAAGATCCATAAGATTGATTTCATATTTTCTATGGAATCTCATATCTTATGGTTCATTAAATAGATGTAAATCAAATCCTTACATCACTATCACACATTTAGACTGATTTGTGAACAATGCTTGAGAGAAATGGTAATATTGTGTATCTGGAATGAATTTTAGATGTTTAAGTCCCATCTCATGAAAAATCAGAGCAGAAACAAAGGTGTTGCATTTATATTTTTGTTGAGTGTATATACACACATACATACACACACATATAGATAGATAGATATGTGTGTGTGTGTGTATATACAATGCTGCTTGAAAGTTTGTGAACCCTCCGGCCATGGTCACTGAATCTGTACAAAACATTAAATTACCCCTATTGCACACACATCCATAGCCCAGTTTGTAAAACACACCTTCCAAGTAATAGACACACACAAAAAGACATATTTTCATTATTTAATAGAACTAATAAATTTAACATGTGCAAAAGTATGTTAACCCTTGCATTAGTAGCTTGTGGCTCCTCCTTTTGCAGCCATTACTTTGACTAAACGTCTTCTGTAACCACTAACCAGTCTCTCACATCTGCTTATGGGGATTTTTGCCCACTCTTCCTTGCAGAACTCAGCCAGTTGAGAGAGTTTGGAGGGACATCTGGCATGTACCATGTTCTTCAGGTCTCGCCACAACATTTGAGTTGGGTTAAGGTCTGGAGTTTGGGCCAATCCAGAGTGTGAATCCTTTCTCTGAAGCCATCCCTTCGTAGTTTCTGGGTGATATTTTTGATGGGCGTCCACTTCTAGGCAAAGTTACTGTCATGTTGAAGGCCCTCCATTTGTAAATCATCTATCTTACAGTGAATGGATGGAGCTGGAATCGTTTGGAGATGGTCTCATAGCCTTCCGCAGACTGATGGGCTGTCACTACCCTCTTCTTTATGTCCTCGGATATCTCCTTTGCACTTAGCTTTGATTTTTACGGGACCACAGTGGTTTGGTTGGTTTCCTCTCTGCTTTAACTAGAGCAGGCCAAACCCTTTCCCAAGGATGTCCCATTTTATTAGTCTTAAATTATTAATTAGGCACCCATACGTTTCACCCGAGTGTGTTACCTGCTCGGCTTACCCAGTGCAGCTGAGGATACACTTACTTTTGCACATGCACTAATTTCATGCATCATGAAGTTTTCTGGCAACTTAAACAAGTTCCACTAAACAAGCACGTGTAACTGATAAACATATATCTGACATTTCATACTTAAAAACTGGCGATGATGAAATGAGGAAATCATGGTAAAACAACAGAAACATCTCAACAGCTCAAGGGGTTTTGAAAGTAAATGAAAAACTATGGTTTTGAAAGAAACTGAACTGTTGTTACTGTAGTAATTAATCACTACTTTAAACACTTAAAGGTGAAATTTGGTGCCTTTAACAGAGGAGCTGGCCCCTCAGAACCTCCTCCGGAGCTGACCTGTTTTATGTACTTTGGCTCCTTTTTATAGACCATTAAAAACGAAACTGACTATTTTTTCAACTAAGTTTCAATTCTCCTCTAAGGTTTTGACACTTGTTCCTGTCACGTTGAGAGCAAGGAGGAGGTTGTTAGGACCCAAGATGCAGAAAACCCCAGATGACACGAGGCAGGAGTGGTTTTAAAAGTAAAATCCTTTTATTAGGAGATGAACCAAAAATCCAAAAAGGGGAGGAAGCCAAAAACCAAGTCCTGAACAACAGGAGTACGAAAGCTCACTTAGGGCAACAAAACCTAGAGATGAGGGGCCAAAGCTCACATAGAGCACAAAAACAACGCTGACACAAAGAATACAATGGACCGACAACAACACAGAGACAAGACGGCTTAAATAGACTGGGAGGAACAATTAGGGAAACAGGAAGCAGGTGTGTGGAGTGAGGGCTGGAGGGAAGACAGGTGACAACAATTATCTAAATGGGGAAGCAGAACCAAAGGAGGGCAGATAAACACAAAACTGAACTAAAAGACTGAGGGGAAGGACTCACACACACACACAATCACACCCAAATACACTCACACACACTGAATTGGGGAATGGACACACACACACACACACACACACACACACACACACACACACACACACACACACACACACACACACACACAGAGCTGAAACCAGGTTAAATCCTTTTATAAACATGCATCAGTTTGGCTGGAGAACTATCAGCACACCTGAGGAAAATCAGTCACTCAGGACACACACACACACACACACACACACGCACACGCACGCACGCACACACACACACACACACACACACACACACACACACACACACACACACAGCTGAAACCAGGTTAAATCCTTTTATAAACATGCATCAGTTTGGCTGGAGAAATATCAGCACACCTGAGGAAAATCTCACTCAGGACACACACACACATACACACACACACACACACACACACTGAGTTGGGGAATGGACACGCACACACCCAAACAGACACAGAGCTGGGGACAAAGAGGCTGGAGCTACAACTGGAGGGGTTGGGGATCAGGAGGCGGGACCAGGAAACCCTCGGGATAGGGGGTCTTGGAGGAGGAGGAAGAGGAAAGGTCTCTGGAGACAGGGACTGAGACTGGAACACTTGAGGGGACTGGAACATGTGCAACTGGGAGACCGGAACACTTGAGGGGACTGGAACACGTGCAACTGGGAGAGCGAAACACTTGAGGGGACTGGAACACGTGCGACTGGGAGACCGAAACACTTGTGGGGAGACTTGAGACTTGGGCGACTGGAAGACTTGCGACTGGAACACTTGAGACTTGGGAGACTGGAACACTTGCAACTGGAACACTTGAGACTTGGGAGACCGGAACGCTTGCAACTGGGAGACAGGAACGCTTGCAACTGGGAGACTTGGGAGACAGGAACGCTTGCAACTGGGAGACTTGGGAGACAGGAACGCTTGCAACTGGGAGACTTGAGAGACAGGAAATGGGGAGGCTTCCACTTCAGAGATGGAAACGTCCACTTCAGAGCTGGAGACAGGAACGTCTACTTCAGAGCCAGGAGGCGTCGACCCTTGGACTGGAGGTGTCGACCCTTGGACTGGAGGCGTCGACCGTTGGACTGGAGGCATCGACCCTTGGACCGGAGCCTCGTGGACGGGCTGGACCGGAGCCTGTGCGTCCTCCACTGCCGAGGCAGGATGCGATGCGTCTTCTTGGACCACCGCCGAAGCAGGATACGATGCATCCTCTTGGACCACCGCCGAGACAGGATGCGATGCGTCCTTCGGGACCACTGCCGAGACAGGATGCGATGCGTCCTCCGTGACCACCGCCGAGACAGGATGCGATGCGTCCTCCGGGACCACCGCCGAGACAGGATGCAATGTGTCCTCCGGGACCACCGCCGAGACAGGATGCGATGCGTCCTCTGGGACCACCGCAGAGACAGGATGCAATGTCGTCGACATGGGGGCTTACGGCTCATCGGAGGTGAGGAGACAATGCCGGCCGAAACAGAGGAGGAGGAATGGCAGCCCACCGGAGAGGATGCGGCCGCAACGTTTGGAACAGGTGGAGGTGTGGAGATGGCGCTGGCAGAAACAGAAGATGGGGAGGAATCACAACCACCCAGGAATGATGAGGCAGCGCTGTCGGAACCAGGTGAGGGTGTGGTGGTTTGGCCCATCAGAGATGCTGAGACAGCGCCAACCGGTTCAGGGGAGAAGGAGATGAAGCCGGTTCTGACAGATTGTACAGGAGCAGGATGGGATTGGAGTTTTGGAGCAGTTGGAGGAGATGTGGAGGAGGAGGTGGCACTGACCGGACCAGGCGAAGGTGTGGAGGTTTGGTACAGTGGAGTAATGGGGATGCTGATGGCTGGCGGTGCTATGGGGCCGAAGCGCGCCAGCAGCTCCTTGAGGAACGGCCAAAACGACACCTCTTCGATGGGGTGGTAGTCGAAATAACGGGTGGCCCACCTCATGATTTCGCCTCCCAGGCAGAGCACCAGGAAGGAGACCTTTTTGAACTCCGAAGAGTTCAAGTTCAAGCAGCTGACATCTTGAATAAATGTCCAAAATTTCTCTGGCTCACCATAATAGCGGTACATCTGGGTAATCCACTGGGTCCTGGGTGGTCGGTCCATTTTGTCACATTGAGAGCAAGGAGGAGGTTGTTAGGACCCAAGATGCAGAAAACCCCAGATGACACGAGGCAGGAGTGGTTTTAAAAGTAAAATCCTTTTATTAGGAGATGAACCAAAAATCCAAAAAGGGGAGGAAGCCAAAAACCAAGTCCTGAACAACAGGAGTACGAAAGCTCACTTAGAGCAACAAAACCTAGAGACGACAAAAGCTCACTTAGGCCCTGTCCACACATAGCCGGGGATCTGCCAAAACGTAGATATTTTTCTACGTTTTGGCCTGTCATCCACACGAAAACTGAGTTTTTTCACACGAAAACGGATCTTTTTAAAAACTCCGGCCAAAGTGAAGATCTGCGTTTTCTCCGTTTTGGGTGTCTGCGTGTGGACAGACAAAACCGGAGTTTCAAGGTCCGCAACGTCACTTTCCGTGACAAAAAAATGCTGACATCACGTGTGCGACCTTTGTTTACACTAGCCGATAGCATGGATGCCCTCAGAGCTGCGCTCGCTTTATCAATTGTCCAAGCGCTTTTTGCTTGTTTTTGCAAGCGGAATTACTGCTCCTTGCGGAAGACCACAGACGAAGGACGAGGTTAAGAACGGGGGAAGTACTGCCGCCTACAGGTCTGGCATGTCCTTAACAACGTATTTATCCGGGTACGTGTGGACAGTTTTTTTTTTAAACGAGGTGGTGTTGATGCAAGTTTTTGGAGGGGCGGATATTCGTTTTTAAAAAAAAAACGGCTACGTGTGGACTAGGCCTTAGAGCACAAAAACAACACTGACACAAACAATACAATGGACCGACAACAACACAGAGACAAGAAGGCTTAAATAGACTGGGAGGAACAATTAGGGAAACAGGAAGCAGGTGTGTGGAGTGAGGGCCGGAGGGAAGACAGGTGACAACAATTATCTAAATGGGGAAGCAGAACCAAAGGAGGGCAGATAAACACAAAACTGAACTAAAAGACTAAGGGAAGGACTCACACACACACAATCACACCCAAATACACTCGCACACACACATACACACACTGAGTTGGGGAATGGACGCGCACACACACAAACAGAGACAGAGCTGGGGACAAAGAGGCTGGAGCTACAACTGATGGGGATGATCGAATGCCTACAAACAGAAAACACATAAATGAGACGCAGACAAAGAACACATGAGGGCGCTATGAGACACAAAATGGAATCTAGAGAGGGATGGAGGACACAAGGAGGCACATGAAGGAGGGGGCAGACGCAGACCATGACAGCTCCAGTGATCTCAGGAAGGCACTCCTTTTATTCTTTACGGTTTCTTAGAAAACTACAGACTGGTTTCTTTTATCGATCACAAACTAAAACATGAAAGTAATGTAGAAGATCTTTTAAATATCAGAATTTGGTCAGAAATCTAACATATCACTAAAGTGCTTTACATTCACTTTACCTTTAGTCAAAAATACAAGGTGTGTGATTTTAAATTAACACAACATATTTTACCAAATCTCTTTATTACCATAACAACAAATGCAAATAATGACCCAGCTGACACATGCTGATCAGAACCATAAAGATGAACCAACATGACCAGAGTGCACGAGTAAAATAACACATTTTATAGTTCTGTGAACATTTTACCATCATGTCACCATAGAAACAAGCCAACAGGGTATTCTGATGGCTAACCCACCAACCATGGAAAAAGTTTCATTTCAAACACAACAAGCCTGGATCAACTCAGAACCCAGACTACGCTGTCATCTCTCTTTTCATTTTTACAACCCCACCACAAAAGGTAAAGTTCAACCCGAGAGAGAGATGCAGATGTTTCACGATTAAAACAGAATGCCGTATAACGTCTGTTTCAACCTACCATCAATTACATCAAATAGCTGAGATCGAGCAATTATGTTTTGGAAAGCATCGAGTTTCAGTATCATAGGAAAACCAGAGGAACAAAGAGTGAACAATCATTAGTATTTTAAAGTAGCCAGTCCAATCAAACTTTTAAATGCAGATTAAAGCCAAAAACTCAGTGATTGGCTTATGATTCTAAATTGCGGAAAGCATAAATTCAGTGGCAATCACACTGGGTTTTTATTCTTTTGCATTTGCAACAGAACTAAGTGCAGAAATGTTCCAATATGTGTGTAAATATTCTTGTTGTAAATTTGCCACTAAGTATTTTAGTAAAGTCCTAGTTCCTTTGCAATTTACCATGAATTCCTTCGCACTTTTCGTTATTCTCTCCGTATAGTCACAGGTCAAGTTCTCACTTAGCAACTAGTTTAAAGAAAAATGCACAAATTTGCAGTTGCAATCACACTAGATTGGTTCCATTTTTGCAACTGCAAAAATAGTAGCTTCCTCACAAAATGTCATGAAGCATTTTGGTCCCAAAAAGAAGTCTTAAAAAATACTCAATGTATTTGCAACGTAAACGGATGATTCCTAATTTTGTTGCAGTCAGATTCTATTTTTATCTCCAATCACCGCTCCAGCGTAGTGACTCGGAGAAACCAAAGTTGGTCGAATATGCATCTTTGGTCTGTACGTCGGTAGATGTTATGTACGTGGCTGTATCACATGGGGCAGATGACGTAATAGCGACTGTTGCAAACGGTTTCAAATTCATCACAAAGTGTCTCGTTTATGTCTCAGCTTTTCCTGTTTTCCTCCTTGCCTCATTTGACATTTAGGTGGAAACTTCTTAAGTTCGAGACGCCTGTGATGACGTAACTATTTAAAAAAATGCTATGCTCGAATATTTATGGCTAAAATTCTAGTAACATGACAGTCAGACGCCGTAACTCATGCAAAGACATTAAGAACCACGGCAAACTTTGAGAGACATGTTGGAAACGGCCTTGCAAGCCAAATGACATTCTGGTTTTAGAAGCTGGATGATTTTACCTGTAGAATGGCTGGGGCTGCCAGAGAAATAGTTAAATATATGCTTATTACCATTTTTCTAGTTACGCTCTCAAACTGGAAGTAGAAAGTAAATTAAGAACACAATGGTTCTTTTTCCTGTTGCAAAATGTTTCTGGGTTTATCATTAAAATAAAAACACCCACAACTCAGTGAAAACATCCCAAAATCTCCCAACACAGAACTCTGAAGTAATTCAACTTCTGTAGTTTTCATTTAAACCTACAGCTCAAAACAGATCATCCACCTGAAAAACGGCGGGAAACACTGGTTTTGTACTTTTGGTTTCTAACGAAGTTCCTATATTTGATCAAATGAAAGAAAACGATCGCTGCTGTAGCTTCTAACCTGATTTTTGTATATGAAGACACCTCAAAAGAACTGAAACTCATATGAGTCACAGTCTCTGAGGATCCCCTTTCTGCAGTGGCGGTTCCCAAAATGTTAGCTCCATAACCTTCAAAATAAAAGCAGAAATTTACAAAAATTCTTCATGAACCTTTTATACAAGAACACAATGATCTTTTTGTAGCAATAACAACAGATTTTTGAATGTTGTTGCTCATTTAAAGACCCCTGACTCAGTGAATCCTGGCCCACAGCTGGACCCCAACCCAAACTGGGATCCACTAGCATCTTTAATAAAACAAGCTACAGAACTCTGAAACGTTTTCCGAAGCTCGATACGCCCGTTTTTGTGGTCACCTGACCCAACACCTAACTCACCCTGTGCGTGAATGCACCTCCCACCGAGAGTTATTACAATTTTATACATGTTTTTAACTCCTTAACATTAATAATGTGATGGTTTTAGTTATCAGCCTGTTATTGAGCTCAGACCGGATAAAACCTTCATTTTTATCTTATTGGTTTAATAGAAAACCAACATGCAAGAATAGAACACGTTGAAACTAACCATAAAGGATAGCAGTTCTTTAGAAGTGTGTGTGAACAGCATGTCTGGAAAAACAGAGAACAGTTCTGATCTAGCTAATCTGGCTAATGATTCAGCTTGTCTAAAGCAACTTTAATCCAAAAGTCACTCTAGATTAGAGGGTCGTGTATTACGAATTCAGTTTTTTTTTTCCAGCTTACATTAGCCTTAGAGAGCCAGCTGTCGAAAAGTTAAATTCATGGCAGCGTAAAGGAATATGGAAAACATTTCTTTGAGGAAAAAAATCTGATCTAATCTGTTTCTCCAAACTGAGGTCCTTCAAAATGGAAAATATTAATTATTCATAACATTTCCACAGAAGCACACCCTTAAATAATAGTTTAGAAGTCCACCGTGTCACAAGTAAAGACTGATTTTATAACTAGTTTAGCATCTTTTTTTTTTTTGGGTTTGGTTAATCTCCCCGACTTGTGTCTTGGTGTGCACATGTGCACGTTATTGAAGCTTACACAAAGTGATGAAAGAGCCACTGGAGAAAATCCAGAAGGCCGGATAGACTGCCTCAGTAAATTTGAATGCAAACGAGTGGAATGGATACGCCCTGTCGGCCACGTTGTAAAACGTAGCTTTGCCTTCCTCGCAATCCAGCAGCACCCCGACACGCTTGGGGCTGGGATTAGCCAGGATCAGCTCGTTGCTGCTGTGCCAGGCTGACAGTTTCACGTTGAACCACTCCACGCACCAGGACTTGTCGTTGCGGCCGAGCCGGCTGGTGGGACCCTTCCGGTCGATGCTGCCATACGCCAAGCCGATGCCGATGAAGTTGTTGCTGCTCAGCCGGACCTCCCAGTAATGGCGGCCTGTGGAGAAGCCCTTGGAGCCGAGGACCTGGGAGCAGACGGCAAAGCGCTCTGGACAGTCCACATAGTTGGTGTGCTCGTCTGACACAGAGGCCTTGGTGAAGTTCTCGCTGAGCGCGATGCGTTTGTGGGCCGTTCTCGGGTCAAACATGAAAACATGACTGTCTGAAAGAGACAGAGGCAAGGCTTTAAATCAGGGATGTCCAAACTTCTCAAGACGAGGGACAAAATTATTAAGTGTAAACTCCTTACAAGCCACAAAAAATAAAATAAAAAAATGTTTTTAAGAATGCAAACATTTTATATTTTTGAATCGTTCTGCTCAAAAACATCCAAACTATATATTTTAGTAAAAACTTGAACATAAAATATTCAAATATATGAATTTATATCAACAGCCTCCTGGAGACAATTAATTCCACAATTATGAAAACGATAATGAGGGCCACACAAAATCATTCCACGGGCCGTAAATGGCCCCTGGGCTACACTTTGGACACACCTGCTTTAAATAAACATATGTCTTAAAAAGAGATCTGGAAAAACACTTTATTCCCTTACATTTCAGGAGCTCGCTTCTTTTTTCAGCAGAAGAGATCTTTGGAGGAAGTTCAGAAGTTCCTGCAACAGAGGAAGGAGGTAGATTTGACACCTGGACTCGTCTGATGGATAAAAAAATGTCCAAACTGTTAAAAATAAAATGAATCTGGTAGCAAAAGCTTGGAATGAAAAATAAATAAATAAAAAGACTACAATAATGATAGTTGATCCGACATATGTAGCGTCCAGAAAGTGTCAATTTTCACCTGTACATTAACCACATAGTGACCAGTCACCTACAGACTAGGGTTGGGCATCGTTTGATTTTGAACGATTCCGATTCAAATTCCTCATTCCGATTCCGGTTCTTATCAATTCCCGATTCCGATTCTTTCAAGACATTCCATGTTTTACATGAGCCAGCTAACCACAGGTCCTACTTGATGAATTAATATTAATTTCAACATGAATTTTAATTCTATGAACAATAACATCACCTTCATTTAGACAGAAACATGTTTTGGAGAAAAAAAGAAAAAAAAAAAAGAAAAAGACTTGCAGCACAGCCAGTGTGTTTGTTTCTGACCACAACCAAAGTCTGGAAGAAGCCTCTGGGATGAGAGGCTAAATGTCTCCAACATATCCAGGAACATCCAGCTGTTTCCAGCTAAAACTCTCCGGATGATCATGTCCAGGACGACTGAGAACTACACCTCCATGATGCAGCAGCATTCAGTCAGAACAGAAACTGAAACGTGGCTGCTGTCAGCAACAATCTAACAGATTTTAAACATTAAAACTCTCAACATAAATAGTTCAGAAAGGAAATTAAAATGTTCACAACTTTGTGTGTCATTTATTATTATTATTATTTATTGTGGCAGTGTTGGCGCCAAAGCTGGTGTGGTCCACCACAGAGAAGCTTCTCTAGCATGATGACTTTAATTATTCTACAGGTTATTGTTCAGCCTTCTGACGCTCACGCAAAAGAGTGTTGGTGAGCGGCTGCGTCTGACTGTTGACGCTCCGTGTGTGTTTTTATTTCTGCAGTGAGACAAACTCACCTCACACCGTCTAGAGTTTGTTCTTTAAAGCTTCTATTAAATCCACCGTGTTGACGTATTTTAACAAGTTTCCTCTGCGCCGCATTTTTGGCTGCAGAAGCTAAAGTTTACGTCACGGAGTAAAAGTTCGGCAGACACGTTATAGAATTTTTATGTTCTACTATTTCTTGATCATTAATTCAATTAACTGAATGTCTTGGAAGCATTCTCACACACATACATACATTCTTGTTACCTTGTAACTTCCCATACACCCACACACACCCCCACACCAACACACACACACACTCTCTCACACATGACCTCACTCCCATTCCTTTCTTATCTTTTGCAATAAATAAACACTGTGAACAGAACTCCGGGGCATTTGCCTAGTGCTCTTGCCACAAATTGCAATTTGGTTGTATGTCTGCTTTTCTCTTCGACTGTAGGAAATGGGTTTATTGATAAAATCCCTAACATAATTTGGTCCTTTGAGAGCCGGGGGTCCTGTCACCTCGCGGCGACAAGAGCCGACGCCGGAGAAATGTCGACAACCCAAATCTCCTCCAGCGCTGAGTTTCGCTGGGGGGTCGGTGAGAGGGTCTTGACGTCGCTAGGAGGAATGCGGATACACCAACTCAAGCCCTGAGTGGAGAGATTTGGTGAGACAAGTTGTTTTTTGTCGCTTTGTCTTGTGGTACCGAGAGAAAATCCAAGGTGACCAGGGGTTAAATTGGTTGGTCTGCCGGAAGGGACTTGTTAAACAGATTCCTGGAGTGCTGTTTTGGTATGGTTAAGAGAATGCACTAGAGTGGCAGAGAGAAAGATAAACAGATTCCGGGAATGCTGTGTTGGCCTGGATTTTGAGCATTTTAGCCGAAATCTAAACGCAACTCTGGTGTGATAAAGAGATAAATGAATAGACCGGTGTGATAACTAAGAGGTTAAATTGGTTTTTGAGCGTTTTAGCCGAAAATATAAACGCATCTGTTTTGGCCTGGCTTTTGAGAGTTTTAGCCTTGGATAGAAATGCAACTCTAGTTATCTGTTGTTGTTGTTGTTGTTTGTCTTAAATGTTGTCTGCTTTAACTGTTGTTCGAATGAATGAGAGTGTCTGGACTTGCTATTTCTTGTAGAAAGAAGGATATGGCAACTCATTTGCACCCGTCTCGCGTATAGGTGGTCAGATTTTTAAACAGGTTGGCGACAAGCCGTGAATCGGATCCCGCTGTGTTTAGAAATACAGTTGAAGGGCAGATTCGTAAGCCTAAATCTGACCTCATGCCAAAGAAAAGACGGTGTGGTATCTATATGGGGGAATAAGAACTCACAAACACCTTTTGAGTAAATATTGTACATTGATGGAAATGGAAATCCAGGAAATGTGGAAATGATCTGAAAATTATCAGAGGGTTGATGGAAAACATGATTTTGATAACCGCTGACATGTTACAAATGTACTATGGTTACGAGAATGCACGGAGCGGTTGAGAGACAGAAAAGGGTTGAAAATGTGAAACAGAGAGGACGTACAGCCTGCCTAAAAGATCCAAACAACAGCAGCTGTGCTCTGTCTGAGCTACCAAGGCTGAATCAATTGAGGCCTAAAGGTAACTTAACTAGAACACAAAGATGAAAAATTAACTCCTTGATGCAAAATGGTCATTACAATGGACAGGTTCTCAAAATTGTAATTTATTTATTTGTTTTTTTTTTGTTTTTTTTTGCTATTAAGCACAGCTGTTGAAGACTTTACTGCATTTGAGCCCCTCCATTTGGACTTCAATAAGCCAAACTAACATATTTCAAGTTCAGGATACACGCTGTCCACTGTGGTGGACATGGTAATAAATTATTTGCAAATTGTTAAATGTTACAAAAACTATTTGTTGAAATTTGTTACATTCACACCTGAAGATGAATGAAAATAACTGTTAAAAAATCATGGTTGAAGATTTCACAATTCATGCATCAAAGTGGTAAGCACTGACCAAATATTTAATTCCTGGTATCTGGTGACAAATATAATTTGAACTATAAACTGTGTCACTTTTAATGACTGAAAGGGAAAGGGTTTTATTGGAACCCCTCGATTTGACAGTTTATCAGTACTTGGTAGTAAAAGAGAGTCCAATAAAAACTAAGTGTGTAGGTTTTTCGTTGAAACCTCTTGGGCTGAGAGATAGACTGTGTGGTTAACAGTAATCCCAGACCAACAAAACTAGTGACTATTGTCAAATTGCATTTTATCTCCTTATTTTGTTTTTTTAAATCTTTGTCTCTGACGTTTAAAATCAAGACAAGGGAATTTCAGCGAATGACAATCGAGCCTGGGTGACAGCAGATCTGGTATGCAGTGCCTGTTGAAGTCGAAAACTGCATTTTGAACACTCTAAAAAAATCGGTTGTCATGAACTGAATCTCCTGGTGTCTGTCAAATGTAGGAACTTGTTAGCTTTTTTGTTAGTTTTATTCAGCTTTGTTTTATGCACACTGTGCCGGACGACTCTGCCCCCTGCTGTTGTAAACTGGTAATTGCAAATTCCTTGGGATGGGTATTTTTAGCCTTTACCCCGGCTTTCCACGGGAGCCGTCAGCAGCACGTTACTGCAGCAGCACGTCATAGCTGCTGAAAGGAACCGCTGTGGTCAACAGAACGTTTTCCACTGGAGCCGTCGGCAGCCGTCAGCAGCGCGAGTCGGCCGCGTCTCAGGAGCAGCATGTCGCGGCCTTTACGCGCCGGTTCTATTTTCTACGCGCGACGCCTCTGAAACGGGCCAAGTTCAACATTTTTGGGGAAGGAAAGACAGGAAATCGGACGCGGAAATGGAGAGAAGCTACCGAGATTTTCAGAATAAAGAACGTACTGCCTTCCGGTTGCTTTACTTTTAAAAAAGGTTACTAACTGTGCGGCCCCGTGAGAAGTTATCACCTAGCTAGCGGTCTCCTTTGTTTTTCAGGTCCGTATTGGCGATTATAAAACGGACAGAACATAAAACACAAACCATGTTGTAATTTTCTCCTGCTTGTTGTTGTGTTTACTGACGAAGTCACTCGTGTGACTTTGTGCTCTGTCGGTGACAGCTGCTCCCCTGCTGCTTCGCGTCTCGTGGGAAGGGCCAAGCAGCAGTTTACGCGAGCAAGACGTGCTGCTGCAGTAACATGCTGCTGACGGCTCCCGTGGAAACCCGGGGTTAGAGGAAACGTATGTGAGATACAACTTTTGCATCGGTTTAACCAATGTTTGCCGGTATCGGACCGGTTTTGTTTATATCCTTTTATGCCTCTTTTGCTCTGGTGAGCCATGAGTGTCTTATGTCTCAAGAGGAGGGACGGCTGATAACGATTTTCCTGCACACATGCATTCACCTGTGTGCCTCTGTTATAAGATAAGTAAATAGAACACATTTGTGAATGAAGTAATGGCTGGATGTTTGAGTCCTTGAATTTGAGCTGAAAGAACCTTTGTTAGTACAACTGTGGATGAAAATAACTGGAGTCCAGAGTGACAGAGAAAATACTTTGAATATTGGATGATAATTTTTGCTGAAAACAAGTCAAAATCAACAGTGATCTCCCAGAATTTTCTTGTGCTTTTTCGCCCACAGGTCGTGAAACCAGGAAACTGGGTTGTGACGAAGGTGCTGAAGCAAGACAATTGGGGCAGCCAGAGAAGGTCCATTCGAAGAACTCCCCACCACTCCTACTGCTGTGAAGATTGCTGAGAGGCCATCTTGGATTCATCTATCCCACTGCAAGCTCATCAACGTCAACTGACCGCTACTAGAGCGACAACGAAGTCCATCCGCAAAGGGGTGGATTACATCTAGGGTCCCACGTCTAAAGCCTGGTGAAGATAAAGATAAAAATCTGCTTCAAGCTCGCTGGTTTCACCCATCGACATTAATATTATGGACATCTACTTTCCATAGGCTCCAATATCACTTTTTTGAGCCCAAATGGGAGGTGGCCACCACCGCCATTTTGACCGTGTCACAGGTTCCGTCAAGCCCAGAAAAAAAAGGGAAGAGAGGAGGAGTTGAGGCTGTAAGGCTGGGATCGACTGACGACACCCGGTCGAACTAGCTACAAGCTAACCTGAAGCTAACCCAAAGCTAATGCGGAGGTGGGAGCTAAGCTAACGGAGGTAGCAACCTAGATACAACCGGAGTTAACTGTGCACAACACCAGAGCTTCTGAGTCAGAGATACGCCGGGCTGACCGCTGGGTAAAACCGGGTGGAACACAGAGGTCTCGGAGACCTCTACAAGCCGGCAGCCGCACAGCACACAGAAGCCGCGATCAGACAGATACGTCGAGCTGCTGGGAGAACCAGCCGTCAGCCTGCCGCAGCTAAGGAGCCGCGATCAGACAGAGATGGACTGGGCTGCGGGGAGAAACAGCCGGCATTCCGGGTGGAAAACATCGGTCTCCCGAGAGCTCCACAAGCCGATAGTCGGAACCCAGCTCCACCAACACGTTATATTTCAACCCATTTTCTAAAGTGCAGCATTATGTTAAATGCACTGAGTTTTACCCTATTACATTAAAATTTCATGGTTAAACAGTACATGTTAAAATCTAAGCTCAGCTCGGCAGTGACCTAAAATACATAAATATAATTTTACTTACCGAAAAAAATGGAGACTCCTTAGACGCTCTATTGGTGCAATTAATGCCACAGCAAGTCATTTTGTCCAACAATTGCACAAAAAATATCCAAAAAAGAATACACAAACACAGAGACTCAAAATCCCGGAACAGTTTCCAAGCCAGACTGAGGCTCTACTGAGGCCTTTCCACAGAGCTAGTTCTGTGGTCACGTGGGTCTGATGCTCATTAATTATACAGAATTTTAGGCTTTTAATACACTTAAACAGAAGAGTGAGAAAAAAATTCACCCCCCTCAGAGTTGTCATGAGTGTAAACGAGATAATTTAAACAAAAATCATGTTCTGGTACCAGGCTGTAAACATGTTTATTTCTGCTGTGAAATTTATATTTTTAACATGGGAGTCAATGAGGATTTGCTCGCTTCTGACACCAGCCCCCAGCGGATGAGGGTGGAACTGCAATTTTTCTTACTTCCGGGTTTGACTCAATTTTAAAGCCGCATTGTGGGGGCCTGGTTTCACCACGTCTTTCTATTGAGAAGTTGAACTGTGCGCTCACATCCCAAACTCTATTCTTGCACTCCGGACCTGGACTTCAAGGTACTCATCAATGTGAGACTGAAACCATCCTGATCAACTGAAGAGAACTCTGACCTTCCAAACTATTCTCCAACCGAGACTCCCAGTCCACAGACAAGGCCTTGATGAAGAACTCTTGATTTGCCTCAGCTCTGCCATAGATAGAGCTGCATAAATTAATATTACACATTCATTTTACCTCATCCACAGAGTCATCTGCAACTTGAAGCTTTAAATTAAATACTTCTGATGTTTCAGTAAACTCTACTGATGTTTTCTGTATATCATATGGTTTTGCTAACCCTTCCCAATCTCTTTACAGGAATTGCTATAAATTGTAGAACTATTGCATTACAGTAAATTCACTTAAATATGTATGTAATAGCTCTTAAGTTTATGATGGTGTTGATTTAACTGATTTCCATTATTTCACTTGTATTTCTGTAAACTGCTGTTTGACGTTATTGTCAGTCGTGTTTGCCTTATCGTGTTTTATTATTGTTTGAGCATTCAAACTATAGTGATCCTGTTTCTCTTTATAGTTGTTTGAATGCTGTAAAGCAGTGGTCCGCAATGGCAGCCCGCGAGCCACGTCCGGCCCGCGAGCCCTCTCTTTGTGGCCCCCAAACCCTGCGCGGACCCCCCACCCCCGACGGCCGACCGGGAGGTTTAGGATAGAGCTGAGGAAAATAATCAAATAATCAATGCATGAGATGCGGGCATAAACGGTTTTGCATCATAGAAGAGTACCATAATCAATTATAGTGGAATGTAGTTGTGTTATTTTAACGGCGGCACCAGCGCAGCATCCAAATCTGTCAGAGCGGTGTGCCCCACATTTACCAGGTAGGAAACTTTGATCTGCCTTTATGTGGTACTGCAGGGCTGAGCGCTGGAGTTATAACCTGAGACCGAACCCGAAACGAATCAGCCTGACCGGTTCTGTTGGATTTGGGCCGTAAATTCTGTTAATTGAGGGGGTTGCCGCGCGGCAGTCAGACCGAGTGTTGTGATGTCGGGAGGTCCGGTCTTGGGGAGGGAGCGGGGTGAGTGACGGCGGCTGCAGCGTAATCATCCGTCTCTTTTATTTAGGGACACGGAGAAGTTAAAAGGAGAGAGAAATAGAAGATAGAAGTTCTTGTTCCACTTTATTCTTTTGTTTCATGATGATAAACTGATGTTAAATTCAGCTTGAAGAGACACTGGAAGGAAGCTTTGGCTCATTTTAAGTTACAGGAGTTCATGTCTCCTATCTGCTCCTCCAGAGACAGCATGGACATGAGGGTTACATGGTGAGGGTCACACAGGACAGGTTAGTGCAGTCACACAGCCGAGCTGGAGGGGGACAGGTGTTGTCCTTCTTTATATTGCAAGCTTGTGTGTTATGTGCATTACAGCCAGCAATCCAAACAGCAGCAGTATAATCACAATTTGCAGATCACGTTTATTTTTCACAGAGATTGGCCGCGGATTCCTCTTCCTGTTGGCATTCTAGGAATTGAAACTAGGAATCGAAATAAAAAACTTTGAACGATTCCGGGAAAAATGAACAGTTGAAACTGGTTCCAATGGATGCTCGATGCCCAACCCTACTACAGACATAATTCCACTATCTGAGTGGAGTTTCTATTCTGTCTTCAAAAGCCCAGAAGATTCTGCAGTGCGTGTTGACATTTCAGGAGGACAAGATTGTCAGCCTGTGTTCCCAAACAAAGCTTTCGTCTGGTAAGACTGTAGGATTCCACACTCTGAATGAAAAGTGTACTGTTACAGCTCATAATCATTAAATAATCATATGGTTGAACCAAATGTTATTTGAGTAATGTTTGGATAATCTGTGCCTAATTCAGTGAAGTGAAATGAATATTATTATTACATTGAAAGATGTATATGTTAGGATCAGCAATGTTGATTTAACAAGGGAATCATCATCATGCTCATCATAAGATATAAATTACGGTTAAGGCCACATATCGCATAAGTTTAAAGATTCTTTATCCACAGAACATGAACACCTTGTATTAGATGAAGGTGTGGTTCTGAGGGATGTTTGGTAAACCTACAAACATGTCAAATTCTGATTTGCCAGAGTCGTAACATGGTGGATTAATAAAACAGGATTTACTTCCCAATTAACTCAAGTTTCTAGCTGACACCTCGATTCGGCCAAATCGGGAAAGAAGTCTTTTTGAAACAACCTCCTTTCACCTTAATTCAAAACCTTGCCACAACGCTGCAAGTGATTACAGACACAACAGCTCATTCCAGAGCTACTGCAACTCTCAAGATATCCTCTTGGATGCTTAATCTGCAGACCCGAGTTGTATCTCATGACCGGGGAAGTTGAACTCAGAGGAAGTGACCAATCTCTGAGGATCGTGGTCTCGACGTCCGGTGACCTCACCACTCTGACCACAAACCTCCAGACCGCCGGGAGCAACTCATACAAGGGTATCGTAGACTGCATACTGGTGTCTGATGCCGTTCTATAAATCATCAACTCTCTAGTTTATAGCAGACCAAATTCTGTTACACCCAGAACTCACAGTTTCTTCCAGATACGAAGGTTCTGATATACACCTACTTCACACATCACCATTCCATCATCACATATTACATTCCATCACATATCCTTATTCATAGCTTGTTATATATTATAATTAGTCTAGAAAATAGTTTATTTTTAATTATATACTTGACTCTGTCTGAATTAATACGAAGTGTGTTTATGGTCCCTGAATAAGCAAAGAATCTTAAATTCTTCTGGTTAAACATTCAAAGATCAATCAGGTTGATATTCTATATTTATATAGAATCATCACATCTTATTGGTCATAATTTAACCTCACAATTTCACTACATAATGGCGAGCCAGCCACATATGAGCGACCTGAGCTGGAGGTTAATAATTGATCCACCTGGAAACTCCCGATTCTACCTGGATTCTCTCTGGGTTCAGCTGCAGCCTGACACCCTCTGGCACCAAAATCCTCCTTCAGGTTTTCCATAGATTTCTTCAGGTTTTCTGAGGTGTTTTCAGCAGACTGGAGAGGACTTTTGGTGTTTTCTAAACAAAACAAAGTGAACTACTGTAAAAACATACAAAGACAGTTAAAACCAACAGACATTCTCAAGTTTAGGTAGCTTACATATCTTCCCGAGGCCCAGAGATGGCTTGTAGCTAGCGATGGGTACCGAATTCGGTACTTTTTAAGGTACCGACCGAATTCCATAGTACCGACTGAACACCGATTCACGTCATTTGAAACGGTGCCTCGTTTCGGTACCCGTCCTTCGCAACAAGAACTTGCCTAGACAGCTGCGCAAGAGCGTTAAGTCGTCGGTCGCTGCGAGCCAGTTGTAAACAGAGCAGCATGGTAGAAAGAACGCACGCTAAAGCTTGGGTCCACTTCACTAAATGTGATGGGTAACTGGGTGATGATGAAACCAGCGACAACGATCTAAGTGAGACATCATCTTAATCTGCTCCGGTAGGTAAATAAAATGTTTAAGATAACGTTAGCTTAATATATTAGCTTCCGTTCTGCTAATGGTGTGTTCGCTTTCTCCTCGGAACTCTGAATTTCCGAATAGAAGAACATGAACGCGCTCTAAAGTTTGGCTTCACTTTACTAAATGCGACGGGTGATTAGGTGAAGATGAAACCAGCGACGACGATCTAAGTGTGAGGTATCATCGTTTTAATCTGCTCCAGCAGCTAAATAATCTGTTCAAGATCACGTTAGCTTGATAAATTAGCTTCCATTGCCACCATTATCAGCTAATGGTACGTTCGCTTTCTCCTCGGAAATTCTATCTTCCCAATGGGAAAAATCAAATGAAAAAGGACGGCAAAAGGAATGAAGATACAGAGTAAATTTAGTTCACAGTAAAGATGTTTGCTTCAGTTTAATTATCAGCTTATAAAACTACAAGGACGATGTTAAAATACAAACAGTTGCATGTTATTTCTCGTGATATTTATCAAATATGGTTATATATTGAGAAAAATATATATTGAAATATTAAACACTCAAAAGTATCTAAAATTGATACCGTTAAGTACCGGTATTGATTCCTAGGTACCGGGAATTAGCACTGAATCGATTCAAATGTCAAAGGTACCCATCCCTACTTGTAGCACTAGATTTTATTGTATCACATCTGTTAAGATCAAACATTTTAAATCTACCTTTTTTATTTGGCGGCTTCTTCTTCTGGCCCGCTTTGGCGGGCGGTCCAGGACTGTGGGATCTGGGGAGTCTCATAAGAGGAGGAGGAGGGAACTTAAGCTCTGAAAATTTTAGAAGAATACGATCAGTTTGATTTATTTATTTATTAATTTTTCCTACATATCACAACAAACTGACCTGACTGCTGACTAATTGCTGGATTCCCTTGTGTAAATCCAGTGGCAGAAGCTACCTTTTCACCTGCAGATGTGACAAAACGAATAATCTTCACCAGCTCACCTACTTACATTTAAAACACGCATCCACGGAGAGAAATCACACCCCTAAATAATGTTTTGATTACGTTCTTGTTTCCACCACACCCCAGAATAAACCAATCACCCTCTGCATTACTGTCAGCTATCACCTCTGCAATAAAAACGTGACAATATTTACTTCATATTTCTTTCTTCATGCATCTAAAATGAGTGATACCTAATTATTTATTTGCATGTTCACCTCTCTGAAGTATTGTTATCCTGGTTTCATGCGGATGTTTCAGGAGCTCCACCAGAAAGTTCTTCAGGGCTGCAGTAAAGGCCTCCGACTGCTTCACCTTCTTTGAGTCTAGACTGAGTCGAGGGGTATAGGGGTCAAAGTTCACGGCTGGAGGGAGGTTAAATGGAGCCTGGAAGGAGGAGAAACACCAGACTTTGAGGTTGAAATAATGTGAAAATGCATTTGATAAAGCTTTGGACCGGAAAAAAAAAACAATTCATATTTAATCTGAACATGATTAACATGGAACATATAAAAGCACACAGACAACCTGCACTAAAACAGCAGCAAATAGTAAAAACAACAGTGATATAATATATATCTATTAGTGGACACCCTTTCATATTATTTTAACTAGGATTGGCATCCTTATCAGTATCGGCCCGATAAGTAAAACTGTTAAGACACCGATATATATTTCCATCTAGTTTCTGTTTGTGTATTTGTTTCAGAAGGGGAGGAGGGTGGTCATGTGGTAACTGTTTGGTCATCTGACAGTGATAGTAATCCTCTAAGAAGTGTAAATGTGTGTGCTTGATAAGAAAGCCTATGATTAAATGTCACACTCATGGATTATTGAATGATTGGAGCTGTACAACAGCAGGACTCAAAGAGCCTTCATTGCAAACTCAATGGGGTGTGGAAAACCACCCTTGTGGCCAATTGTACAAGCTTCCATCAAATGTGGGGCATTTACCAAGGAGACGCCCTGTCCCCGCTGCTGTTCTGCATAGGTCTAAACCCCCTCAGCCACATAATCAACAAGATACCGACTCAAGAATGGAACTACAACCAGCCACCTCCTCTGCATGGATGACATAAAGCTGAACACCAAAAGCGAGCGAGACATCGACTCACTGATCCACACCACCAGGATCTACAGCACTGATGTCATTCGGACTTGAAAAGTGTCATCGGATGGTGACAAAGAAAGGGAAGGTAGTCCACACAGAAGGGGTCTCCTTCCCAGAAGTGGCCAATATAAAGAAATCCTACCAATGGCAAGAAAGAGCTGGTCTGAAGGACAGCACAGAGGCACTCATCATGGCTGAAAAGGAACAAAACCTATCACTCTGGAGGACTTCTGCTGTGTGTTGGAGTGGCTAATGCTAACAGTTAGCTTATACTAGCAGAGGCATTCTCTGCCGATTCCTGGACGCTAAACCAACAACAGCCTTCCCCGTTGAGAGCCAAGATGGGTGAGTCCATGAATGTTGCGACAGTGTAACGTAGATCTGTCAGACTTTTCAAATCCTAGAGTTTCCCCATCTATTTTCTATCAAAAGCTAATGCAGGAGACATGTGTAGGAGGCTATTTTCACGTTCAGCCTCCATAACAAACTCAGAGTGACTGATTATAATCAGAAATAATCATTATAACAGTGTTTTTTCAGTGTTCCACACCTTTAAATTGTAGAACATTGCAGCGGTAACAAAATCAACCAAGAAAAGATACCCATCAGAGAATCTGAGCATTATCTCACACTTGGGACACCATTCAACACATGTCGCTGTCGACAGAGCCCTGAAGAGCTGTGAAGAGGAACCTAGAGCGCGTCTGACGAACAGGGTGACCAGATGTCCCGCTTTGTGTGGGACAGTCCCGCATTTTCATAATTTTTCATGTGTCCTGCAAATTGAGACTCATGTCCCGCATTATTGGCAGTTTCCCGTTTTGAGTTTCAATGTAATAGAAGAAACTGTGAAAAAATCTGCCTGTTGCTGTCAAACAAATGGAGGCGGGACTTTAACGCAGATCCGGAGCGTGTGTGGAGCGCACCCGAACCACCAAAACAAGTGTGAGTGAGCAAGGAGGAGAAAACGCTGTAAACTCGTGAATCAAACGTTTTCAGAGATACTCGACAGAGTCTTTGTTGTTTTTGAGTCATTCTTTCATGTCTCTGCCCGGAGTCTGATATGAAAAGGTCAAAAGCAGGTTTTCTAGTAATTAGACAGGTCCATGATAAACACAATGGAGGCTCTAACACAGACAAGGTGCTGCGTTTTCATATACCTACATGCATGCTGAGCCCCTTAAAGCATAGTGAAGAAATAATGAGAGAATCAATGGAAGCTTTGATCACTTATTCTCAGAAATTTGAGGCAAAAAGTAACTCTAAGAAACTCTATTATTAGATAAGACCTAGGGCTGGGCGATATATCGATATTTTTAAAATATCGATGAAAGTCTAAAACAAGATACAAGATGACATTATAGCTTTATATCGATATAACTGGTCAAACTGCTATGCTAGCAATTAGCCACTATGCTAGCGACATGTTGCTCCATCTATAAGTGGTTATTACGTGTATTCTCACAAGTTTGCTCAGTCTGAGAGCCTCTAGGGAAAATGTGCTGCTCTAAACTTTGCATTTGGTGTCCCAGTTTTTAATAATTTGGGGACGTTCAATGCCAACAGAGTTGTTTATACGACCTGCTTGTGCAGACAGATGAGCCAAACCCCTCCCTCTCCTGTGTAATCAGGAAACATCTACGGATAGCCGGAGTGGCCAAATTACCTCAAACGTATTTTAAGGGTTTGAATAGTAAATTATAGGGTTAACGTCTTATTTTGAAGGCGAGCTCAGTGGATGAGAAATGTTCCGGTTTTCCGCTCTGGTTTGCTATGCTAGTAAATACTCCGTTACGAGCGATTCTGTTGAAAAAGTTAAGAGTTTGTAAGGTGTGGGTTACGGTGACAGTAGCCCGAAAATAATACTCATAAAGAGCAACCAGTGACTCTGTGTCATTACAGTATAATCGCTTATTTGCGCCAATACTGTTAGATTTTGCCCTGATAACTAATTACTCCACGGAGCATGACCCATGTGATCTTCAGTAGATGCAATTACATCATCATAAATTTAGTTGAACATGATACTTTTTTTTCTCTGGACAAGAAACATACAATATGGGCCACCTCTAGATGACATTTAAATAATTATACATTAATTATAAATATATAATTTAAAAGTGCCTGTGGGACATTTGATACACCTCTAGCTCTCAACTGTGTGTGTGTGTGTGTGTGTGTGTGTGTGTGTGTGTGTGTGTGTGTGTGTGTGTGTGTGTGTGTGTGTGTGTGTGTGTGTGTGTGTGTGTGTGTGTGTGTGTGTGTGTGTGTGTGTGTTAACAGACAGCAGTACCAGTGTTTCTAAAGCTCAAACTGGTAGAGAATAGGCACTAGGGTTTAAGTTTGACAAGAATCAATACATTTGTATGCATTTAATCTACTGATTTATGTATAGAATTTCTCAAGACAGCTTGTAGTGAGTTAACATGCAAATATTATACAGGATGAAAAACATTGAGATATATATCTTATATCGAAATTCAGCTAAAATATATTGAAATATAAGTTTTGGTCCATATCGCCCAGCCCTACTTAGGTCTTAATTTTTTAGAGATTAGAATCTGATGTTTATTCTCTCACCTAAAATCTAGAAGAGATTTGTTGTCATGTTAAAAAAATTGTTTTGTTTCTGAATTAAGAAAAAAATAGCAATAAAGATCGGATATTTTTTCTATGAGATGCTAATTTTAGTGGAAAATTAATTAAAAACAAACATAAATGATCTAAAAAATATTTCTGGTACTTTTACTGTCATTCTGTTGTGGAAAACATTCAATGAAAACTAGGGTTGGGCATCGTTTGATTTTGAACGATTCCGATTCCAATTCCTCGTTTCCATTCCGGTTCCAATCGATTCCCGATTTCGATTATTTCGAGACATTCCATGTTTTAAATGAGCTAGCTAACCACAAGTCCTACTTGATTAAATAATCTTAACTTCAACATGAATTTTAATTCTATGAACAATAACATCACCTTCATTAAGACAGAAACATGTTTTGGAGAAAAAAAGAAAAAGACTTGCAGCACAATCAGTGTGTTTGTTTCTGACCACAACCAAAGTCTGGAAGAAGCCTCTGGGATGAGAGGCTAAATGTCTCCAACATATCCAGGAACATCCAGCTGTTTTTAGCAAAAATTCTCAGGATGATCAAGTCCAGGATGACCGAGAACTACACCTCCATGCTGCAGCAGCATTCAGTCCGAACAGAAAACTTAAATGTAGCTGCTGTTAGTAACAATCTAGCAGACTTTAAACATTAAAACTCTCAACAGAAATAGTTCAAAATGGAAATAAAAAATATTATTATAATTATTTATTGTGGCAGAAGTTGGTGTGGTCCACCACAGAGAAGCTTCACTAGCATGATGACTCTTTTGCGCACCTCAGGTCGGCAACAAGATGGCGCCTGTGCTTGACTTAGCTGCAGTCACCGGCCACTTTTTCAAACTTTTCTCCACTAACCTCCTCATTTCCACCTTGCTCCTGTCTGCGATCCTCTTCAGTAGTGTCCCTGCTACCATCTCCTATGATCGCCAGACTCTTTTGTCCTTCCGTTTGTTCACGATCGCCCAAGATGCACCGAGGATGTATCATCCTGTTTGTTTACCTGAGTGGCGCACTGGCCCGGAGCCAAACGACGGTCCCGAGCTGCGCACCTCTGACTGTTTATCCGGTCCCGGGAAAACGTCGTAGGAAAAGAGTTAAACAAGCAGGAATCCAGGTGAGAATAAGACTTCTCTTAAAGCATGGTTTATCTAGTAAACATCGGCGTGATCTTCTAAGTTCTTGTCCTTTGTTTGGTGACCTGAGCGCCACTTCTGCATTCCCGCCAGGCCGCGTTGCAGCGCGGTTCATCCGTCCAAGTTTTTTAAGGTCGGTTTCTCCTCATTCCTCAGTGGTTTCTCCTCCTGTTCCCTCCATGAGTGGTCTTTATAAACACTGTTGATCTAACCCTGCTAATTTACGTCCACTAACTCCAGCTGTTTCTGTAGTTTCTGATTCCTCCTCCTCACTCAGCATGGCTCTATTAAATACCCGCTCTGCTAACAATAAGTCTTTCCTGCTCAATGATCTAATTCTCTCTAAAAACCTGGATTTTCTGTTTCTGACTGAAGTTTGGCAGCAAACATCTGATTATTCTGCTCTGATTGAACTCTGCCCGAGTGGTTATTCTTTTCTTAGCCAGCCCCGGGGTTCTGGTCGTGGTGGAGGCCTAGCTGTTGTTTTCAGAGACCATCTTCCTTGTAGCTCTACAACCTCTGGTCACTTTGCTTCCTTTGTACTGCAGCTGATTAAAGTCGGGCGTAAGGACCCGTTCTACTGTGCTGTGGTCTATCGTCCACCTGGTCCAAACAGTTCTTTCCTTCAGGAGTTTAGTGACTTTCTATCCTCCACTGTGAAGCTGTCCAGACTGGTGATTGTTGGTGACTTTAACATCCACGTTGATGATCCCTCTGATCACTTTGCCATGAATTTCTCCAGCTTTATGGACTCCTTCAGCTTTACCCAGCATGTTTCTGACCCCACACACACCAGGGGGCACACTCTAGACCTTGTTTTTACCCTGAGTCTAAATGCTGACAGTGTTTGTCCTGAGGACGTTCATATTTCAGATCACCACTGCATTTTCTTTAACTTGTCAGTTTCTGCGTCCCCACCTCCTGCTCGCCGTATGGTTAGTTCTCGTTTTCTTAATGAGAGCACAGCTAGCAATTTTTCTGCTGCTTTTGATCCACCCTGTTCTTCTGATAACGACCCAGATTCCTTAACTTCTCAGTTTAACGAGCACTGCCTCTCCATTCTGAACAATATCTGTCCTGTCAGAACCAGATCAGTTCCTGCAGTGAACCCTACTCTCTGGTTTAATGACAAGCCTCTGCAGCCTGAAGCGCCAATGCAGAAAAATTGAGCGTTTGTGGAAGAAAGCCCATCTCCACGTCCACCTGCTGCACCTAAAGGATCTTCTGACATCCTTTAACTCTGCAGTCAGAGATGCTAGGGGTGCCAATTTTTCCAACCTGGTGTCCCAGAGCAAAGGGAACCCCAAGGTGCTGTTTTAAACACCATCAGCAGCATCATCTCTCCTGCCTCTCCTACAGCCTCCATCCACTCTGTGGCAGACTGTGAGAACTTTCTGTCTTTCTTTGTGGACAAAGTCATTAAGGTTAGCTCTAGCATCTCTCCTTCAACCTTATCGCTGCCTCTGCCGACTCCAACCAGACCCATCATCCTAGATAGCTTTGCTCCTGTTTCTTTGCCAGAGTTAACCAAACTAGTTAACTGTATGAAGACCTCTGCATGCCCTCTCAACATCTTACCCTAATCTTTGTTTAGAAGTGCTATCGGTCCCAGCGTGCTGTCTATAATTAATGCTTCTCTGGTTTCTGGTCAGGTCCCTGCTTACTTTAAGAACGCTGTAATCCACCCGCTTCTTAAAAAAACGAGTCTTGGTGCCTCTCTTCATAGCAGCTTCAGACCCATCTCTAAACTTCCGTTCATTTCCAAGATCTTGGAAAAGGTTGTGGCTAAACAACTCACAGCTGCTCATGATCAACATAACATCTATGATAGCTCCCAGTCAGATTTTTGTAGAGCTCATTCTACTGAAACAACTCTTCTTAGGGTCTCTAATGACCTTCTTACTCACAGTGATGCAGGGGACTGTTCTGTTCTGGTCCTGCTGGACCTGACTGCAGCCTTTGACACGGTTGACCATCACCTGCTACTGGAGAGGCTGAGAGACTGGGTAGGCCTATCAGGATCTGCTCTGGAGTGGTTCTCCTCTTATCTCTCTGAGCGCTCCTTTTCTGTGGCCGTCTCCAAGTTTAGGTCCTCCACCACCTCCCTTACCCATGGTGTCCCACAAGGTTCTGTGCTGGGGCCTCTGCTCTTCCTCCTCTATCTGCTTCCACTTCAGCACATCCTGAGCTCCATCAAAGGAATCTCCTACCATCTTTATGCAGATGACATCCAACTGTACATCTCCTTTAAGCCCCGTGAAATGCCTAAGCTGCAGCTGTTACACACCTGCTTAGACTCTATCAAAACCTGGATGGCTGGGAGCTTTCTACAGTTGAATGAAGATAAGACTTAGATCCTCATCTGTGCCCCAGACAAGCTGGTTCCCTAAGTCAGAGACTCTCTTGGTCAGCTTGCTTCTCAAACCAAACCTTCTGTCAGGAATCTTGACGTGACCTTTGACCCAGCTCTCACCCTGGATTCTCATGTCAGTTCTCTTGTTCGCTCTTCCTTCTTCCATCTCAGGAACATTGCTAAGCTGAGTCCCATTCTGTCCCGCTCTGAACTTGAGACTATTCTCCACACCTTCATCTCCTCACGCTTAGACTACTGTAACTCTCTTTTCACGTGTCTGAGCAGAACCTCTCTGAACCGTCTACAGGTGGTTCAGAATGCCTGTGCTCGGCTTCTGACCAAGTCCTCCAAACACACCCACATCACCCCGCTTCTCCTCCAGCTTCACTGGCTGCCAGTCAACTTCAGGGTTCATTTCAAGATCCTGGTTCTGGTCTATAGGGCCTTACATGGACAAGCACCATCTTACATTAGTGATCTTCTTAGTCCCTACACCCCCAGCAGGTCCCTGAGGTCCAGTGATCAAAGCCTACTGATTGTGCAGCGCACCAGGCTAAAGACCAAAGGTGACCGATCATTTGCTGCTGTGGCCCCCAGACTCTGGAACTCTCTCCCCCTGAGCCTGAGATCAGTGGACTCAGTGGTCTCCTTTAAAAAGCAGCTGAAGACTCACTTGTTCAAGCTGGCTTTTGTATGACCTTCTTCATCAGGGTCCGAAATTAACACTCGCCACTCGCCAAATGCGAGCAAATTGCTCCATTTGGCGAGTACATTTCTGAGCTCTATCTGCCACATGGCGAGTAAATGTTTGCACCAAATTAGTTATGTTTATCAGTCATCTTCCATGGATTTCTGATACTCCTCCTGCCTGCATGCAACGTACGCGAAACGTGAGCGCCGCATCCAACGTCATTTCCACCTATCCCATTCAATCAGTTTATCAAGTTCACATTTAGCTTCGTGTTAAAACTAGCGGTGAAATGTGGCA